TTCATTCCAATGACTGTTGACACTTAATGCTGATAGAATATTGAGCAATTGATACAAAGGAATAAGAGCAATTAGCATAGCAATACAGTCTACCATAGACACACAAGAATTTAAACCAGAGATGGTAAATTTGGGGTCTTCCAGACAGAGTGCCACAGATTTTTCTAATTCTACCTTAGACCAAAGATAGCAAATCAGGGCCATTAGAAAAAAAACCCCAATCTGACTCATCCAGCCATTTTTATCTACCTGATGGTGCATTTTTAATCAGCACGTGGTCAATTCTTCCTCTTTATCTGATCTGCCAAAAAGACACCTTCGACAACTTTAAAAGAACTATGGTAGACTTTGCTTTGATCTGACGTCTTTTCTTTGGCTGAATGCAATGTCATAGCTAGAAAACGTGCAGAGAACCAAGAGGGCACCTTGTGTATCTCTTATAAAACTGTATTAGTAAAAAAGGGTAATATTTGTATGTTGCTTTTCAGGGTTCAGAGTGCTTAATGTGCATTAACCTGTTCTAATCTTTGCATCAATTTTGTTTCAGGAAAGAAAGATGTAGCAGCAGAACCAGAAGTGGAGAGAGAAATTTGCGGGAAGGCATCCTAGGGACAAGATTTGAACCAGTGGTCCTTGCATTATGTAATTCATTTTAACATTAACTGTGCTACACCACTGCATTGGATTGTTTTTGCACTTCATATAAATGGGTAAAGACCACAGCCAAGTCCTTTCTGACTAGATACTTTAGGAAGCAGAGTGATTTCTAAAAGTAGCTGTCACAACTGATGCTTCCAAGTGGACTTCAATTGCCATGATACCTCAGCAGACTGAGCCAATTGGAAAATTACAGTAGTTGAAATTCAAACGATGTGGGTGAACATTAGTTGAGGAGCTGATTAGTTTAGATACTAGTTTATATAACCTAATCTATATAGATTAGAATCTAGTATCTAAATGTTATTACCTGTTTCACACAATCTGACTGCTTTGGAGGAAACCATCACAAGACCTACTGACACACACGAAGACCTTATAAGCAGAAGAACGTCAACACTGACATCCTCAAAATTCTGCTGAAGATGTTATCTAGCCTGATAAAGTAATGTTCAGAAACCAGCCCACAAGCTCAGAAAACAAATCTCCACTCTCAGGAAACTATATGCTAAGTAAAATCATCCTCTAGCACCCATCAATCCACTATCCACTATCTGAATATTGTATACTGCAAAATAAATAAATAAATAAATAAATAAATAAATAAATAAATAAATAAATAAATAAATAAATAAATAAATAAATAAATAAATAAATAAATAAATAAATAAATAAATAAATAAATAATAATAATAATAATAATAAAAAAAAAAAAAAATTGGAAGGGACCTTGGAAGTCATCAAGTCCAACCCCCTGCTCAGGCAGGTAACCCTATACCATTTCGGACAAATGGCTGTCCAGTTTCTTCTTAAAAACTTCCAGTGTTGGAGCATTCACCACTTCTGGAGGCAGGTTGTTCCACTGGTTAATTGTTCTAACTGTCAGGAAGTTTCTCCTTAGTTCTAGTTTGCTTCTCTCCTTGATTAGTTTCCATCCGTTGCTTCTTGTCCTGCCTTCAGGTGTTTTGGAGAATAGCTTGACTCCCTCTTCTTTGTGGCAGCCCCATAGATATTGGAACACTGCTATCATGTCACCCCTAGTCCTTCTCTTCATTAAACTAAACATACCCTATTCCAGCAACCATTCCTTGTATGTTTTAGCCTCCAGTCCCCTGATCATCTTTGTTGCTCTTCTTTGTACTCTTTCTAGCGTCTCAGCATCTTTTTTACATCGTGGTGACCAAAACTGGATGCAGTATTCCAAGTGTGGCCTTACTAAGACATTGTAAAGTTTTTTAAATACAATGTTTATACAATGTTTAACAATTGATGGATATGTGATAACCTTCATTTGTTTATGTTTTTTTCCTTTGTTTTGTTTATCAGTTGGTCTTTTCTTGCATTTGGGGTATTTTTGTGTATTTTGTTGTATTGTTTTTTTTTTAATATAACATTTATTATTTTATTATTATTGCCTGTTCACCGCCCTGAGTCCCGTAAGGGAGATAGGACGGTATATAAATTTAAAAAATAAATAAATAAATAAATAAATAAATAAATAAATAAATAAATAAAGAAAGAAAGAAAGAAAGAAAGAAAGAAAGAAAGAAAGAAAGAAAGAAAGAAAGAAAGAAAGAAAGAATGCTTTTTCAGCCTCCAACTGACACTCTGGATGGGCTGCAAAGGTAAAATCAGTTCTCTGGATGGGCTGCGAGGTAAAACAAACTTTCCTGGCCTCCGCTTGACTTCTTGAATACGCTGTCGAGCAATACTGACGATCTGAAGTTTCCTCTTTTCCACTTGACTCTCTCAAGATCGGAGAAGCTTGAAAAGAGAAGCACCAGCGACGCCCATCTAAAGATGGGCTTCCCGAGGGTGCCTTGCTATCGATGCATTTATTCATTCAATTAATTTGTGCAAGAGAGAAGCAACCTAGAACTAAGGAGAAACTTCCTGACAGTTAGAACAATTAACCAATGGAACAACCTGCCTCCAGAAGCGGTGAATACTCCAACACTGGAAGTTTTTAAGAAGAGACTGGACAGCCATTTGTCTGAAATGGTATAGGGTTTCCTGCCTGAGTAGGGGGTTGGACTCGATGACCTCCAAGGTCCCTTCCAACTTTATCATTATTATTATTATTATTATTATTATTATTATTATTATTATTATTATTATTATTATTATTATTATTATTATTATTATTATTAATTCAGTATGTCGTTTCAACGAGGGAATAAAAAGAGCCACCGTGCTCCCAAATTGATCCGTAATCTTAAAAATGTCAAACCGTGGGCTGTCCTTCCACCTACCTAGCCATCATTTGTTCTTGCAGTCCCTCCAAGGTCTTCTCCATCCTGGCCTTGGTCAGATCTATTTAAAACGGGAAACAGAGGAAAAGTTTAGTTTGACTGGCAGCCCTCACACCTTAGGCAGAGGAGTGGAGCGGGTGGGGAGGAAAACAACGAGCTTTCTTTCCCTTTGCAGAGACTTTCGGCGGAGCACACAGCAAGTTCGAGTCGGCACGTGCCATTTCCGAGGGAACCCGGGAATCGGGGAAGAGGTCCTCTGAGCATACGCAGAGAGCTCGCCTCCACATGTCCTCGGGCTGGGTTGGCGCCCTCCTTCGGGGGCGGGGGGTGTCCAAGAGCTTACCTGGAGGGCTCTCAGGACTCTCCCATCCACCTGCGGATCCCCGCGGCTCTCGTCACGCAGGTGGGGAAGACGCCTCGCATCTCGGCCGCCCTCCCGCCGCGGCTGCCGCCTTTTGTGGCCACGCCCCCTGCGGCCCGGCGGCAGTTGCAGGAGGGGCCGACGGGCTTCTCCCGTTGCTAGGGCGACGGGGCAACCCGGGGCGGCGAGGGCGGCAGCAGGGGAAACCCCCCCCCGAGGGGGGCGGAGCCAAAACAGGTGCTGCCCAGGCTGGGGCAACTCGCTTAATAGAACCTCCGTAGAAATTCTATGGAGTATTTCTGCGCGATCCTCTGCGAGTCAGGCGGGGTCGCCGCTTTTCCTGCTCTTTGCGAGTCCGAGAGTGTGATGGCTACTGGGCTGGACTGCCAGAAGAGACTGGACTGCCATCTGTCAGAAATGGTGTAGGGTCTGCTGCTTGGGCGGGGGGGGGGGGGTTGGACTAGATGACCTACAAGGTCCCTTCCAACTGTGTTGTTCTGTTATTCTCTTACTAATGGGGGTTCATAAATCCACTAGGGAGAGGTGGGGGAAGGAAGGTACATTATTGTTTTGGAGCTTGTGATTTTTAGCTGATGACATTCATAAAACCGTCAAAACAGGTCTGGATTTCCAGGGAGTCCTCGACTTAACAACTGTTCATTTAGTGACCGAGGTTACAACAGCACTGAAAAAAAAGTGACTTAGGACCGTTTTTCACACTTATGACAATTGCAGCATCCCCATGGTCACGTGACTTACATTCGGATGCTTGACAACTGACTCACATTTATTGGTGGGAGTGCCCGAAAGCCCGTGTTTTTTGGAACAAGGTTAAAAAATGGTTAGAAGAAATATTAACAACAGAGGTAGAGCTAAAACCAGAACTCTTCCTACTAGTTATTACCATACAAAAATATGATAAAGGGGCACTTTACCTAATGCTACACATCTTCACGGCCGCCAGACTGACCTACGCATAAAATTGGAGAAACAAAGAAATCCCTACTGAAGAAGAGATTCTACATAAAATTTTATTGTGTGCGGACATGGACAGACAACTGACTCACATTTATGACGGTTGCAGTGTCCCCGGGGGTCATGTGATCCCCTTTTGTGACCTTTTGATAAGCAAAGACAATGGGGGAACCAGGTTCACTTAACAATCATTTAGTAATTTAAGAACTGCAGTGATTCACTTAACAAAAGTGGTGAGAAAAGTTGTAAAATGGGGTAAAATTCACTTAACAAATTTCTCACTTTGCAACATACATTTTGGGCTCAATTGTGTTCCTAGCTTGAGGACTACCTATATTGCAAAAATTATTTCTGCCGCTTCGGTCACGTATCTAAGCGGCATAGAGCAGGATCTGGAATACACTGGCTGTATTCCAATCAAATTGGAACAGATCCAAATGATATAATAAAGAATAAAGAATTCTATATAACAACAATAACAGTAACAACAGCAAAAACAATAGATAAAAATATTACTGTCGGGAGAAATTCAACATGTTTACAGAAATAATAGCATCATTCATCTCAACTCGGGTTTTTATTTATTTATTAAACAAACTTACATTGCTGTCCATTTTAGTGGAAGAGAGTCTGGAAGGCAAACAAGAGTCAAAATTGCAATATAATTTTTAAAAAGTTGACATTTATAATTGCATGGAGGGCTGCACAAAACTTGCCTTCATCGTCTGTCCTCCTTATTTCAACCTGTTCAAGGAATCTTTAAAAAGCACTGAAATGGCTGTCAGGATCTCCTATCTATTTCCCTACCCTACATGAAAAATAAAACAGATTTGGTTGGCCATTTCAGTGATTGAATTAGATTTTGGCCACCCCCTTGGGTGTCAGTGTAGCCTCTGCTTATCAATCAAATCATACAGCTCCCCTCTTAATTATTAAATCATTTGCAGATCATCAAGGTATTCTTAGTCCTTCCCTTCCCTTCCCTGTCAGCAGACTCTAAGCAGCTTAGAGCAAAACATACAAGAACCATAATATACAATCAGTCAAAAACTATTAAATATGTCAAATGACAGTAATAACTACCATCAACATAAAGTCAGTGTAATCCAACATTTGCTCAGTTTGCTTACATTTTATTACATTTATATCCTAGTGTTCAATAATAGCTTGAGGGTCTGTCATATTTAGAGGATATTAAGTAGGGAAAGAGGGCTCAGGTATAGTTGAGGTCTTCTAGTCCAACCCCCTGCTCAAGCAGGAAACCTTATACCATTTCAGACAAGTGGCTGTCCAGTCTTTTCTTTAAAAGCTCCAGTGATGGAGCACCCACAACTTCTGGAAGCAAGCTGTTCCACTGTTTAATTGTTCTCACTGTTAGGAAGTTTCTCCTTAATTCCAGGTTGCTTCTCTCCTTGATTAGTTTCCATCCATTGTTTCTTGTTCTGGCTTCTGGTGCTTTGGAAAATAAGTTGACCCCCTCTTTTTTGTGGTCGCCCTTCAAATACTGGAATCTGTGCCATGAACTCGGTTCACAGTCACAACAGACTCAGAAGGGGTGCTTTATGGTCCATGGTGGGACACCTGTGCCCCTTTCCCACCCTTCCCTGCCTGGAGACCTAGGCCTTCTCCCTGGTGCTCTGCTTAATGACTGCAACTGGGAGAGCAAGGTCATTGAGCAAAGCAATTATGTGGCATCTTGCTTAAGGATCCCCTTGCTCAATGATAAAGATTCCAAGGTCAATTGTGGTCATCAGTGGAGGGCAACTGTATAAATTAACTAGTTTGCAAAAGACTAGATTAAAACATAGTAGGATAGTTGCTGGCTGAGGAATTCTGGGAGTTGAAGTCCATTCATCTTAAAGGTGCCCAGATTGAAAAGCTAAACTTTCTGCAAACATAGTCAACTCAAGCCAACTTGGCCAACTCCATTTCTATTCTCCTGTTGTGAGCAGCCCATCTGACTTGTGAAAATGTAATACTTTTGACATCATAGGAAGCAAAGGAAATTGTAATTCTCTGTGGACTGAGAATCAGCTTCTGATTTTGTAGCTGACAAAATAAAAGGATATTTATTTATTTGTTTGTTTGTTTATCAAATTTATATAGCCTCCCACCTCACAAATCGTGATTCTGGGCAGCGTACAGCAATCAAATAACAAAAATAAAATAATTAAAAAAGTACTTAAAAGTGTTCCAGACCGCCACGATTCCGAGGTATAAAAATTATTTAGTAACGGAGAGTATTTTTGTTTTCTTGCATTGAGATTCCCTAATTGAGAGCACTGATTATAGTAATAAAGAGAGATGGATGTAAGATTTGGGATTCGGTTGTGTTGAGGCATCATGCTGTTTTCTTGACAGTTGCCATTTCACTGAAATTGCTCATCTCTTATTAAACACCAGTTTCAGATCTACCAAGGGGAAGAAAATATATTTGACAAATATAAATGCTATTTTATTTCACTTTATACAAAGACAGCGCAATCAGCTTCAAAGCAGCGGGGCAGATCAGTCAGGGAGGCAGGTGATGAAGGATAGCAAATGTTGGCACGTGCGTAAGGATGCAGTCACACAAAAACTGCACTGGAGTCACATTTTTCATGCAAGCATGTAGTACAGGAACTCCTTATCAAGTGCAAGAAGCCAGGGGCCAGGATAGAGTTCAAAAGTCAAGGATGCCCTTGACTTACAACCATTCCTTCAATGAGTGTTACAACAGTACTCAAAAAGATTTATGACCATTTTTACACAACTGTTGCAGCATCCCCATGGTCACGTGATCAAAATTCAGATGCTTGGAAACTGGCTTATAATAGTTGCCATGTCCCGGGGTCACGTGATCACTGTTTCCAAACTTCTGACAAGCAAAGTCAATGGGGAAGCCAGATTCACTTAACAATCGTGTTACTAACTTAACAACTGCAGTGGTTTTGGTGGAACATTCAAAAGATTTTCAAGAGAAAGATGAAGTTCACTCCACAATTATTTTTGTTGGGTGTTATTACAGATTGTGATACTAAAGAAACTAACTTGATGTTGAATTTGATAACAGCTGCAAGGTTATTAGTAGGGTAATATTGGAAGAAGGATTGCTTGCCTACATGGACAAGC